TATAGATAAAAATATATATATGTAGATATAGAGATATATATATATATATATATATATTGAATGAAGATATTATTGACTTTGGTGCCCCCACCTTTTTGGTATGGCTTCAACTTGAAGGTTTAGAATTTCCAATAACTCATTTATTTTGAGTGTCTAGTATTTTCTTCGCTCTACTCGCCAATTGCTCTAGTTGGGAATCGAATCAGTGACATTGATTTTGTTATCGTTTGTAGGATATATATATCAGACGCTATCAGTTGTCCTAAAACAATTGGTTTTAGGAAATGCGCAAACTCTAAAGTGACATTCAACATACACAAGTTGTCACGATATTCGATTGTGGGTTGTCCATACCCGGATCTCCCCCACGTGGATAATTGGTGTCAAACTTTGGCTAACGATTACTAGTGTTTAATTAATTTATATCTTATGCACCAATATTTGTTGCAGTTTTCATGATATTTTTTTTATGTCGATGAAGCGCATTCTTTTACTGGATTTAATTAATTTTCAGCGATTGTCGAGCAAACGTGTGGTGTTTGTGGATATTTTTGTGAAATGATTAACTACGAGTAAAACTTGAGAATTGCAGTTAACTCTGTGAGCTCTGTGTATATAATTTCCTTGTACTTTCAATATAACACATGATTCCTTGTAATTTCAAAATTTTGATCTTCCTAATGAGCATTATTATTTACCAAGTGAAATATCATAGGGGGTTATGTGTTTATATTAAAAGTACAAGGGGATTATTTGCATAAAGTTCAGACTACAAAGGTGTCATGTGCTTATATTCAAAGTACAAAGAGTCATATGCACAAAGTTCAAAGTACAGGGACTAAGTATTATTTACCCCAAATTTACAACGAGAAGAATCTTGAAGAAAAAAAACATAAAGGTGGTGCAGATTGAAAATACCAAAAAAGCGATTATGGTGAACTTTTTCTTTCTTGGGGTAGGTTTGCAAAAAAATAAATTCTTTGACTTGGGCTATACCTATGTTTAGACTATCAGCCTTATATTATATATTCTTTTATTTGCTTTACTACTTTAATTAATCATTTGAATAAATTGATGTAAATATGTGTCTTAAAATGAGTTAATAACATATTACACTTCTCGACATGGTTGTCGGAAGGCTATTTTGTTCTATGCTACACTCGATAAATTCACTGGATTAAGTTAATTGTTCACATATTATATATAATAATTCATATATATTTATATATATCCACATGTTTGTGTTTGATTGCTTATAAATTTATAATGATATATTATCCGATGTATTTCATTCGATATCACATCTATAAGACCTACTGCATGCCAGAGCCATAGCACGGAAGGAAAAATATAATTATGGTATTATTGTTCAATAGCTTGGAACGTCCAACAATCTGATATAGTAGAATGTCATGGCGTTTCACTACGGTCGAACCGTCAGAAAGTAAATAATTTATTTTTTATAATTTTTAATATTTTGTTATTCTCTTTAATAGGATTGACAAATAATATATTCCACATAACAATAATATAATATTATTGAGGTTATAAAAACATTTTATAGAAGTATGGTGTAAAACGTGAATGGGGTCAAATTAAAGTGAAAAAGTAGAGAGAAATTAAAGCTGCGTTTTCTCTTCATTCCACACATTCAAAGGCCATGCATGGATCCGAACGCAATTTCTCTACTTTTGGGGGGTAACATTTAAATATTTAAGTTTTTGCATTAATTGTGAATTATTTTGGTATTATGTATATAAAATCTTTAAGAGCCTGTGTAGCACCAAAACTTCAACTTCTTAATATTTTCGTATTTCGGACACTCGAGGACACTTGTCGGACACTTTATAGGTCATTTAGCAATTTCTAAAAAGTTATAAACATGTTTGAATAGCAAATTGGTCACTTTATTTTTAAATATTTTTGTTGCTTCCCTAATTATTTACACGGTTTAATAATGAATTGCAAATTAATAGTTGAAAATAAAATTTATATATGTTTATATAGCATATTTATAAATATACCCCTATAATTTTAATATTTAAATATTTCCCCTGAGCTCCCGTATTCCTAGCAACTCTCATGTGTCCAAAGTCTATGACCCGGATATCATGACAAAATATTATTTTTTTTAGTCACCAAAATATTAGGAATTTTGTGTTCAACTGTTTTTCTAGGAGGAGACTGCAGTGGAGGAGCGCCAGCATATGGTTGGGGCATGGTCCCATCCTTTCTTAAATTTCTATTATTGTATATACAAATATAAAAATAAAAATAATAAGAAAAACAACATCTATTAATAGCATTAATTTCAGAGATGCTCAAACTATTCTGACCCTAAATTTATACAAATTGATGTCAGCAGACAGGAATTATCAAAAATCTTATCTGTGAACATGAACAAGAACGTGTACGTACAAATCTGTATCAATCTGGAGCAATATATATATATATATATATATATATATATATATATATATATATATAGATGAATATATCTGCTTTTCTCAATCAACGTGAATTATAACATAACTTGCCCAAATGTTGTCAGGTGCTCTACTTTCACTAAAGCAGAATAAAGCAGCTATAAAAAGAAAATAAAAACGGGGCAGGGCCCAGATTACATGCAGCAGACCTCAAAGAAATCCCACTAAAGAAACACATGCTTGACAACCCCATCATACTTTTTTTTTCTTTTTTTAGTTAAAATATTTAGTAATAATTACATAATAATTAATAGCCTGAATGTAACAAGCTAATTAAGGATGTGATTACATACATTTTGAGAAATATAAAGACAAATTGTCGTGTAAGATAATCATCCCACTTTCCCGCCCGGCCCCCTAATCGTGTTTTTTTTTTTCATGACGTCTGATCACTTTTATATTAACTGTTTATTTGCCCCTCGATGGGACACCTTAAACAAGATTGGTTTAATCATGTTCATTACTCTCTCTCTTTTCTAGTCGAACCACCGCATTGATGCACATTGGCATTTTCGGTCAACACAACATCCATTTGACTATGACGATGGTTGAACCATTTATGTGTGTGTGTGTGTGTGTGTGTGAGAGAGAGAGAGTATATTCCTAGTTTCAAGTTTCTGTTCTTTGGTGAACGAGTGAGATAGTTCAAATCTGGTCAGGTTTGGGACTATGGATGAGAACTTTGACTTTGACAGACGGTTCTGGTCCGATCTAGGGTTTCTGGGTGATATGCGCTTTATGTGAGTTATTGGAGCCACCGCTGGTGGATTCTGGACGAGGAAAAAGGTGACAAATAGAACCGAGCCGTTAACAAAAATCTAAGCACCTTCATTAGTTGAAGCGATGCTACTCATAGCTTCTCTGTTTGTGCTCATTTCATTCTTATAGACAATGGGAACACAAGGAATTGATTAATTCAGAACTTGCTTTGTCAAAAAGATATTATGTTTGTGTAAAGATGGTAGGGCACAAGGATTATCTTCTGAAATGCAATTTTGCTTTTGTATCTATAATCAATAATAATTAGGGTAAATTACACACACCCCCTGAGGTAAGCTTAAATAACTGTAAGGTCCCTGTGGTATCGATAATTACACTCAGCCCCCTGAAACGTAGTCAGAAACTCTAATGGGATAATGAATTGGATACGTTATTCCGATAGGGTTCTAACGGACTATTGGTTTCAGAAAGTGGTGGAGACAACAAAGAGCTATGGGTGATTTAAGAAATGTTCAGAAATGTTCGGGGAGCCATGTTACCCCATAGCTCTTTGTTGTCTTCACCAC